CAAAGTTACCTACAAGGTTACTACTTCTCCTCGGCTTCAACCATTTTCGTTTCTGCCACGCCAAACATTCTATACCGTTCATATTTTTTCTCAAAACGTTTTGCCAAAACTTATTTTAGTATGCTACTTAGCACAATTTGAATCACTGTGAGTGAAAACTTTTTAGTAACACCGCATTTAATTTAATTTGAGAGGAATGTTTCTCTTTTGGGGGTACCCGCTGTATTTCAGTATTCTTGCCTAGTTTAAAGGTTCCTCCATTTTCATCTTTTGTGATTCATTTTGCCCATCGCCACTTGTGAGTGGTACTTTTTCCGGTTGTCAAATCCTCTACTACGGTCAAACTTTGGGTTTCCTTCCTCTACAGGTATGAGAAAATCTCCGCTCAACCTCTGCTCATATCCTACTGTACGTGCATTCATTGAACTCAGATACTTTCCAACTTCATTGCTAAGTCGAATAGTTGTTGTGGCGTACCTGGACCAAAATTCTGAAACTGAGGCAACAACCTAGCCAATATTATTTTGATAAACTCCGCATCGGGTCTTTTTCCCATTGAATAAGTTCATTACTTGTATTTTCCTCAAAATATATTCTTCAAATGGCGTAATAAATTCTTCAAATTTTTGGCATTTGGTGTTATTAAAAAGTTTTCACTCACAGTGCCTAGTCCTACTTCGAACGTACAACTTTCGTGGCCTGGTTCACCCAATAAAAATTTACCGATGCCTTCAGTGCATATCCTGGAAGCTTGGCGGTTACTATGAGAAGCATTTTCAACCGGATTATAAACTAACTCTGATTTTAACTCGTCATGGGAATTTTAGAAATCATCTATTTCGTTTTAATATCGTGACCAATGGACTTTGTGTTTGAAAATGTAGAAGGTGTAGAGTATGTCTTATTGCACTGCAAGTTACATGAGAGCGTTATAACTATATTTAAGGCGAGTTTAAGGCATCTCGTTATTTTTTGGTCTAGTATTTTTTCCGACCACATCAAAAATTCGGAGGCTTTTGCTGTCTTGCGTTCTCTTTCTTTCTTGTTTAAGCATTTAGTATTATTATTTTTAAGTATTATTACCTTATTTTTATGTATCATTTTACTATTAGTGTATTTTATGTATATATTATTACTTTATGTATTAATGTACTGTATTATTATTATTATTATTATTATTATATATATTTTCGGTATAGTATTATTATAGTTTTATTATTTACAGTATATTTGCGTATTCTTATTATAGCAGTATTTGTATTATATTCCTTATTCTTTCCAGATATAGACATTATATATTATTTTAATGTATTATTGCTTTAATACATTTCCTTTGTACTTACTTACTACTACTTAATTCTGTAAGCCTCACCGCATACCTTGTGAAACAGGAAGAGTTTTGCATTTGTTTTCTTAAATTTAAAAAAAAAGTGATAGGGTACAAACTCACGCGAATTGTATAGAACTTCCAGCTGAAACTTCGTTCCGTAGTCTCCTCAGATGCCAACCATTTTAAGAGACTCTTCTTTTAATTTTTGTTCTTGTGTAAATCCTGAAAATTTAAAATCATAATCATTTTCAGTTTAATAGGTTATTCGATGTTTCATTATAGAGACTCTGACAGACACCTTATAAATAAGGTTATATTATATATTTATAAAATTAAATCTTACCTTTGGCCTCGCCACTTTCAAAACCGCTAACAGTCAAAACCGTTTCAAATATTCAGACAATCAAATCCATGCCAAATATTTTATTGTGCACCGAGGAAAGCACAATAAAATATTTGGCATGGATTTGATTTTAAGAAAAACAGAGTAATGTCTTTGATGAATAATTTTCATCGAATATGAATCGGGTTTTTTTTTTCAGCATAATGTAAAATATAGAAAACATTGGAAATGGCCATAAATATGAATAGCAAGAGAGGCAGATTCATGATTTTCTCATTTCAATTTTAAAACAATTTAGCATAGCAATCACCATATTTATATGAGATAAATATATCTACTACACAGTGCTTTATATTGTGTATGCACAGATTTTCCAGTGTGTTTTTAAATGTGTCGCCGAAGGTTGCGAGAGCGTTATATTGGTATGGCAAGTGCGCGATAAAATTCCACGATTAAGAAAATATGAAACATGGATTTTTAGTGGATATATAATATTCATATTTTTATTTGATTTATGCTTTTTATGCTTTCTCAAGGAAATCCTTTCACTGCTGTGGCTCTATTTTAACAGTGAAATCTTACGTTTAGTTGTTCTTACATAATGCTTACATTACAATTTTCATTCTAAGCATTTTGCTACACGTATTATAATCCACTAATTTTTGATACTCTGAACACTCTTAGGAAATATTCTTTACCAACTGACAGCAAATGATTTAGCCCAACGAGATTTTAGCCATTTGGCTGGTGACGAACTGTCCCTTTATGTTCATTAGAGGAACAAGTTTAATCTACTACCACGCCACAATTTTCGATTGCAGTCTTATACAAGTATCGTATTGTCATGTCTTCGAAAGTCCCAAAGGTTGGCCAGTTGGTTTGGAGTTAACAGATTGAAATTATTCTGTACCTCAAGTGGGCCATGTACCTCAAGTGGGTCAAATAGTCATCATATTGCAACAATGTGGATTTCAAAAAACAAAAAAGAAAAGGAAAAAAGGCCATTCTCATGCATAGTCATGTATTTGAAACGTAAGTAAGTACATAAAATCTTACTTAATACTGTAGTTCCTTAAAAAATAGAAAAAATAAAAGAAAATCTTGGCAGTAGACGAATACCTTTAGTTTCTTTCCTGACCCATGGCTTCCTTTTTTTCTGCGACTAGCTTTGAGATGTCCTGAGACATGATGCTTACTCTACCGATTTTCAGGAGGTAAATGAACACCGTTAACTTAGATCTCGTTAAGGATTTGTTCGCTTTCATAAGCGAGAAAAGCTGTTCATTCTGATACGTACTACCGAACTTGCAAACCACGTACGAAATTTGCGGATTTCTTGAAACCACGCAAGCAGGTTTCTGTAAAGTTCAAGAACAACCCACACTGAGGTTTTGCGTTACAGCTGGATTGCACTGAATTTCTGTTAATACCATCTGTAACTGGGTTGGCATTTCTCACCGTCGGTTAAGAAAATAGTATTTTTTTAAAGGATTATCTCGAGAATCCTTTTTAACACACGAGCTTGAGTACTTGTCTTTATATGGGTGGAATTTCAATTTTTATTTATGTATTATAATTATATATTTTATTATTACCTCGGGTTGAAAGGAGTGCCGCTGTTTTATATTGCCGGTCTGTACATTTAGTAAGCTGGTTCACAGACATTGCTACTAAATGGCGTATCTGCATCAGACAGAATCTTGTAAGTTTAGATGTTTGCAATTTTTAGTCTATTTAGCATTTGTAATCATTAATCTACTTAGAACTGGAACAATTAGATACCGAAATATTCTTGTCTGATTGATGGTAAGTAAAAATACAACACCTTCCGTTTACCATCACCTGGAATGTTGTTAAAATCTGAATGATATATTTCATATACCTTTGAATCTATACTCGCTTAATATTGATTAATTACTATGCTTTCTTAAGCTCGACTTCTTAAGATTCGAATTACAATGACTCAGTCTGAATTTCAGTTTCAAAGCGTTTTGAATTAGCATAATCAATACATTACAAAATATCTTTTAAAGAGAAAAAATATAATAAAAAGAAAGGTTTCAGTCTTTAATGGTTGCCCAAAAGCATTTATTAAGGTTTTATATACTCTTGCTGAGCTCGAAGACTACCAATGTGCTATTATACTCAACATTTTTTTGTCATTTTAGTTTAATTAAGCATCATTTTCTTTGCACTTATGCGTCATTAAGCATCACTTTCTCCGCATTTACGTCATGTACAATTCAACAACAATATCGCTTGAGAAATTACAAAAATTTTCAAAGCTGCATAGAGTATACGTTTAGAGCTCTCGATGCAGCTTTTTTCTATTTACATTTTCCTGTTTTTGAGTCCTTTTTCAGTTCATCATATAAATGTTCAGGTTTCTTACTAAGACGCATTTAGGCAACTTTTTCTTGTCTTATTATTAATGTCTTGTGCGTTTACTTTATTTATTAAACATCACGTTCTTGGGGTTTACGCCACATGAGATTCGACAGAACAGCAAAATCACAAAATATTTAAAAATAACATATCTTTAGAATATCCGAAAGACTGTCTCGTGCCCTAGAGAGAAAAATGTTTTATTCCGTACAGTGTTTCTCTGCTGGTTTACAAGTCGTTGAGGCTGTTAATCAAAAATTAATTAAAATTTACAAAATATGAAATATAAAATTTGAAATTGAAAATTTGGGCTTCCAGGTGCCCATGTTCGGGTGGAGAACTATCCTTCAAAATTTTATGGCTAGGTATCGTCGTTTTTTCCCAATGCGAGAAGCATACGTACATTCACGCAGATTCTTCATTATTATACAGGGTGATAATATTTGGGAGCAACAATTTGAAAAGTAAAACTGTCATTTATAGCGAAACAACACAAAATGCGGGTCCGAAATTAATATCCCTTATGGGCTACCGCCTCTTTGGATTTATAAAAATAAAAACATAAAAAAGGAGGAAAAAAAGGTAAATGCCATTTTTATTCTTATCTTTTTAAGGAAGATGAGAACTACAGGTATATCTGATCTTCATTATTCCTTTTATTCTCCAATGCACGAAAACTTAACTTCTGTGGAACATTTTTCTCATTGTTTTGTCATATTTTACTGTCTTTCTTTCTATTCCCTGAAATGCAAAAATCGATTTAGCCCAGTATGACGTCACCATCAACAAGTGGGCGCGACCAATAAACATCGGTCGGACAGAAGTTCTTATGACGCATGCGCAAATAGTTTGGTTCATGGAGTTACCTCCATGAGCGAAACTTTATATATTCGATTTGGTTGCGACTTTGAGCGCACTTTTATTAGCAGTGCTGAAGAATTCTTTTGTACCCGTTTTGGTGCTTTTCGCTGTCTCACACTAGAAAAGAGTGATTTCGGCGAATTAGATAATTTTCTTTTATACGGTGAGTGATGATATATTTATTATTCTGTATTGAATACGATAAATTTTTTAATTTTATTTTCAAAAAAGTTTTATCGCATCAATGCTTTAAAGCACTTGTGTCCAAAACAATGTTTGTAGTTTTCCTTTACTAACAGTAAAAAACGTTGCTTTTTATAATTAACTATTAAAGCGTAAATATATTTTTCACGGAATTAATTCAAATATATATTAAATTTACTTAAATAAAATAATTTACTTTAATAATTAATTAAGGTATTTTATAGATTATCCATGGTATCTCTAACATTATCATTCTATTTACTCATCAGAAATATTCACAATTTAATAACAAAGTATGATGAAAAATCTTCACATACGCTGTTTTAAAATTGAAAAATAAGACCCATTTGCTGATAAACAAAGAAAACGAGCAGATCTGTTAAACCCTGCACGTATTCATGTTGCTTATTCCCCACCCTAGCTTTCGCATTCATTAAAATATCAAAATTAGTAAAAACTTTGGTTAAGATTCTTGCACTCGATATGGAAAAGTGTCCAACGAGATCATTGAAAATTAAAAAAAATTCCATTACTTATATTGATCATAATTCCACTCATAATTTTTATTTGAAATTTAATTTTGTACATCTTTTCTCTTCTATTTCCCCTTCTCCTCTACAAAGTATATATGCGTATTTTAATGTTTAAGGTAATGCAAGTTGCCAAAGGTAATGCAAAGGTAATGTTGCAAGGTAATGCAAGGTAAGTTGCAAAGGTAATGTTTAAGGTAATGCAAGTTGCCTGCTAAAATCTAAGTAAATAATATACTTTGTATTAGCACAATAAAATGGGCGAAATATCCTCTTTAAGGTTTACTAGACAATATAAAATAGCTCGAATGTTTACGCGTTGAATATACAAAATTATGACTTAAAAAAACAAACTCATTGCCGAAAAGCGCAGGATATTTACAAGTTATTATAAAAGTGCATATATAGATAAATAAATTATTATTACTTTACAATAAACGTTTTATATAGAAAGACGCCTACACTTTTTATTTACATGTAAGTGAGCAGGAGAAAGCATTTCAAGTTTACCATTCTAGATCAAGAAAGTGCAAATTAAATTATTTTGGAAGCTTATTAACTAATAATGGCATTTTAAATCAAGATTTTTAAAAAGCATTGTTAATGCAAGTAAATGAACCTATGGATGAATCCTGGAGATTAGGAAAAGTAACGAAATGCTGTAGTAGGTACTTTTCATAAAATTGCACTAAAATTTAAATAAAATGAAAATCATCTCATTAAATACACTTTAAAAATAAATTAGTAAAATAGTTTTTATTTCTGATGATTTGTGAAGATATACTTCTTGAATATTTTGATAACGGACCAGACACATTAAGAAATGTCTTTAAAAATCATTTTTCATTAATGTGTTTATGTAATCAAAATAGCTTCCTAATTATTTCCACACATATTCTTTTTAAAATGGTTCCTCTTGTACGATTTACGCTCAATGAATATTAAAAATGTTATTAAAGAAAAAAGTTTAATATTTTAAGTCTTAAATTTGATTATCTCTTTACTGGTAAAATAAAAGTGCATTTTCTTCGTATTTCATAGAGAAAAACGACATGTTGGACAGCGTAGACAAGTATACATTTCTTGAGTCTTGTAAAAATTTTGAAGATAATGATAATCTTTTCAATATGTTCTATTCCAATAACTACCATTATAATTTACAATTAAAAATCATGATACTACTCTGGGACTAAGAAAAATCGTGATGTTTGTTATTAGACTTTAGTCACAAGCTTCATGGTTTTAAAAAATATATGGCCACAGAAACTAATGGAGGATTTTGGTCATTTACATATCTTGTTCATTTTATCATTAATATCATAAAAGAACGGAAATTGTTGTTCAAATTATTAGTTGCTTAGGTATAAGAAAAACATACTTGAAATGAGGGAGAAAAAAAAGAGAGAAGTCCGTATCGAGCGCAAGTCTAAAAGTTATCAACAGACTGAATAATACAGAATTTAACGACTACCTAGAAGGAGCCTATGATCTCCAATATAAACCTGAATCAGTAGAAAAAATGTGATTAAGGTAAGAGTAATTGTGCTGTTCGAAAATGGAATTTGTTTGTTACAGCGAAAACTGACCTTTATACACAAGAATAAGAAACTAATATATGTAACGGTTAAACTGGGAAAAAAGTGAATATTAAATATCCTAATAAACTCAAAATGTAACTAATTACAAAGACTCTTCACGGAGTGTACTTAACTGTTATGCTGGACTTTCGTCGGTATAGACTTACTTTACATTCAATTTCACAGCTTTATGTTCGAGGGAAAATATACCTAAGGAGCATAGACAGAAATCTGGACTATAATTCAGAACCTACATAGGATTCTACACTCTTACAATCTGAATAAATATGACAATGTCCTGCAAAGGTCAAAATAACCTTCCTTTTAAGTCTTTATACTAAACAGAAGGCACCTCTAGCAAATAACTTCTGCACTTGCGGGTACTCAAAATAACACATGAAATTTAAATTCGAAGAACGTAACCGGAGACGACAAAAGATGTTCTATTTAAGTTGGCTCAGTATTATTTAAATGGCTTGTTTTCATGTCGGTTAGATGAATACCTTAATAAGAAACCTTCTTAGCTGTACTTAATTTAAACATCCTTGTTTGAGTTGAGTTGAGTTGAGTTGTTTTGAGAGCAGAATCTGGACACCCGTGCGGCTTACTAAGACTATTCGGGTCTAGTCCAGGTTCCGCAACTATCCGGGGCAACACCTCATGGGGACTATAAGGGCATACGTTGGTCCTGTATACATGCTTTACATAGTTCATAATATATGCTTACATAGTTACATAGTTCATAGTACATGCTTATATACAAGTAGTTCATAATACATAGATCTTGCTTACATAATACTTGCTTACATAGTTCATACATATACATGCTTACATACATAGTTCATACATATACATGCTTACATAGTACATAATATATTAAGCCTGCTACATAATACATACATAGTAGTTCATAATAATTTTCATTGGTCATAGTACCTACATGTTTCAGAATATATACAGTGGACCGTAATACATACATGTTTCATAATATATACAATAATAATAATAATAATAATAATAATAATAAATAAAAAAAAGATAGAAGAGAGAGAGAAGAGAGATTGACAGGGAACTACTCCACACTGCACAAATCTGTTCCCATTTCCTCCAGTTTCTGCATTATCTTGCATATTTTGATGCGAAATGCTGGCTGTTTGATCAGATAACGCTTATGAGAAGTTGCCTGTTCCGAAAGCTGCACATGCCACTGTGCGGTTAGAGGGCATTGGGTCAAGTAATGGTCTGGTTTACCAATGCCTCCTCCACAGACACAACTTTCGGTATTTGCAATTCCTCTCTCATAGTAATAGGAGGGGAAAGGCCCGTGGCCCGTCACAAATCTCGTTATTTGTGGGGATGACTCGAGACGATCGAGCGAAACTTTATGGAAATATTCATATGGTCTTCCTGCTTTGTTCGGTAGAGTCCCATTCCCATTGCCACTGGTGCTGAGCTGCTGTCCTTGTCACTTTTTTAAGGTGAGACCACGGGAGTTTTGGTAATTACGCATTGTGCATCTATATTGTGAGCTGCTTCTTTTGCTAGCCTGTCGGCTTCCTCATTACCTTGAATGCCGGCATGTGCCTTTATCCAAGATATGAGGATATTCATTGTTTGACGAACGCTCCTTTCAGCGTGTCCTGAATCTCCGCTATGATAGGAGAAGGATGTCTGGGATTTCGTAAGGCATATATGACCGAGAGGGCTGTCTGTAAGAATATTAACAGTGGATCCTACTGGGGGGCTTGTTAACTCGATAGCTTTACGAATCGCAATTGCTTCAGCCTGGAAAACTGAATTATTCTGTCCCATATGACCTTTCCATGTTATCAGCGTTTCCTTGTTCTTAGTTACTATAAGGCCACAGCCTACTTGTCCGTCAACTTTTGAACCATCCGTATAAACGTAATAATGATCCTTTATGTCAGAGTCATCTTTCCATGATGTGGTTGCCGAGACTCCTTTTCCGTAGTTAGACGAATGGATGACATTTACTGGCCTTTTTTTTTCATGGAGGCTCTGCTGAGAGGTGGTGTGTGCTACAACCCCTTTTCCATGGTGTGAAGGATGGACGTCTCATTTATGAGACGTTTTGTTTCATACTCCTCTGGGTCATAGCATAGCGGTCCAAAAGTAGTGCAGAGATGTAATTGGAGAACAGTCGTTACTGCTGCTTCTTGTGCTGCTCTAATATGTAATGGCAAAAGTCCCGCCAGTATTGTGGCTGCCGCTGTCGATGTTGTACGGTATCCTTTTGTAATAGCCAGAGCCAAGGGGCGTTGTATACTACTGAGCAATTTCCTTTTCCTTTCGTTCATTGGAGTTGCCCAGATTGCCGCTCCATAGAGGGCCATTTTTTCCACGACGGACTGATAGAGGATTTTTAGGATATGTGGTCTAAGACCCCAGTCTGAGCCTTGAAGCCTCTTTAAGGTATTTGCAATTGCGTGTGTCCTCGCGCGGACTGCTCTGAGATGAGGCAGCCAGGAGAGCTTTTCATCGATTATAAGCCCCAGCAGTTTTAGTTCCCGAGTTCGTTTGATTGTACGGCCCTTTAGTTTCAAAACTGGATTTCCTGCAAGAGTTTGACCTGGTTTGTGTACGATCAAATACTTTGACTTTTGCTCCGAGATGGTGAGTTTCTTGCCTTCACAGAGCCGTACAAATTTTGCTATGGTCTCATTACTGTTACTTTCCAGCTAGTCTCTCGATTTGCCTCTGATGATAAATGTCGCATCATCAGCAAAAGCAATCACCTTTGTGTGGGTTGGCCACAGTGCTTTGAGAATGGAATTAAAAGTTGCATTCCATAGGTCAGGACCTGCACATGAACCCTGAGGGCAACCCCTGGT